GGGGGGGGGGGATGGGTGGACAAGGAGATGGGCAGATAAGGGAAGGAGGCTGAGGATGAAGGCTTGATGGAGAGATGGGCCAATGAAAGGATGGAGGCAGATAGACCAATGAAGGATCAGTAAGAGACGGATGGTTCTTGGAAGGAGGGATGATGGAGAGGAGAGATGGGCCACGGGATGATGGAGAGATGGGCCAAGGGATGATGGTGAGATGGACCTAGGAATGATGGAGAGATGGACCTAGGAATGATGGAGAGATGGACCTAGGAATGATGGAGAGATGGACCTAGGAATGATGGAGAGGAGGACCAAGGGATGATGAAGAGGAGGACCGAGGGATGATGTAGAGCTGGACCAAGGGATGATGGAGAGATGGACCAAGGGATGATGGAGAGATGGACCAATAAAGGATGGAGAGATGCAAGAATCAAGGAGGGATGATGGAGAGGAGGACCAAGGGAAGATGGAGAGATGGACGGATAAAGGATGGAGAGATGGACGGATAAAGGACGAGGGATGGGAGCTCCCCTCCCCTACCCGCCCCTGCCTGGGTTACTCAATAGCCGGCCATGGCAGGAAAAATTGGGAGAGCCAAAAAAAAGAAAAAGAACCCCCCTCCCTGTAGAAAGAGTCACCCCCGGGGCAAAGTCCATCAAGTAGAAGTCCTCAGGGGATGCAGGGGAAAAGCCATGCACATCCCCCCACCCTCCCCCCTATGAACCTACAGCAGAGCCAGGTAAGAGCATCCCTCTGTGACCACCGCCAGACTCAGCACCAGCTGCTGCCCATTCCTGGTCACCGGGCTGCGCTCTGTGGAAGGTGCCCTCCTTATTGTTTTCTCTTCCTCTTCTGGTGGGCACTGTTCTTCTGCTCCAGGGGCATCCTGATGCTGAGGCGGACCATTCCCATGCCTCCTCTTCCTCCCCTGGTGCACCCAGGCCGAGCTCTTTCCTTTTTCTCCCCGTATTTAATCTGTCGCCATCTTCAGCCGAGGAGAGAACACCTTGAGAA